TTGGAAGAGCCGTGCCTTGGCTGGTTGGCAGGCCTGGTGCAGGAGAGGCCACCTGGGATACACACCTATGGAAGGCTTCCAGGGTGGCCTCGGTCATGCCAACTTAAAACACAGGCAGCTGCTTTAGCCCCTAAAGGCACCCCTGGGGGCTTAGGGGGCAGGGTCGTGGAGTTCAGCACCTCCGTTCCTCTTCAGGCACCCGAGCGGGTTGGGCCTCTGGGGAAAAATGTATCAGAGAATTTCTCTGGCTTTATTTCCTGTAATTAGTGGCCTCAGAAATGAGAGAACCACCACTTTAGAGCATAAATATATTTACACATCCACGCATAACATCTACTTGCCTCTGTAACAGCAAACTTTCAAATTAAAGGTAACTTCTCCAGCGTTGGTTCATTTGTGCCGTAGCAGGAAAGCATCCGGATCCAGGACAGCCATTAGGCACGTGCTTAGTTACGGGTTTAACCCTGTCCTCTGTATCTTCTTCCACTGGGGCCTTTGACCCAGTCCTGCCGAGGCTGAGGCACACACCTACCTCCATGGCCGTGATTAGCTCTGAGCGGAGCGGCGTAACCCGGAGTGGACGTTGAAGCGCCTGCAAGGGGTTGCGCAACAGCGGTAGAGGCAGGACTCCGCGTTATCCCAGCAGTGGAAACTCAGTCTTGTGTCAAATGATCCTCTTCTCCTTCCTGCCTGTTTTGAGGCCACCGATACTCTTTTCTGTCAAGATTTGAGATACGTCACCTTCAGGTGATGCCATGGTGCAGTAAATGGCTTTTAAGTGCGATGGCACAAGATCTCCCTGTTCTACTGGCCAAAAAAATCAGTTTTCGGTGATGTGCTGAATGTGCTTGACCTCGTTCAGCTGGGCTTTCAGGTTGTCTCTTCGTCTGTGGTGCTTTCTCTTCAGATTGGTGAAGAGACCGAGGAAATGTGCTTTGGGTGTCCCACGTGGGTTAGCATTTCATTCTTACCCTATCTGTCATAGGAGGATTATCTGGGGAGGGAGGGTGGAAAAGGTAACAGTTTATACCAAAACAAACTCCAAACAATTGCGTTGACTCAGGACATGGCTATTTGATAATAATTTTCAGGTATTGCAATCATATGGTGCAACTTCCTGCTGCTCAGGTTGTGTTTGTCTCCTCAGTCAAGTACGGGGAGGTGACATCTTTGGGTCAAGCTTCCTCTGGGATTCCAAAAAAAGTTTGCGCTGGAGGGAAGACCATTTGCCTGTTTACAGCACATTTGGCGATCTTTGTCTCATTAGCAGGTTTAACGAGGTATTACTTAAAACCTCTCGGATTCGATGAAGATTAACTTTTTAATGCTGCTTCTTCAGTGTGATTTATTCTTTTTCTTCTTCCTGTTGGCCCTGGCACGCTGGCCGTTCGCTAAGTCCTGCTACTCGCTTTCCCTTTTGTTTATGGGCAGTTTCACTTTCTGGTTTTGAAGCTTTTCTGTTTGGGTTGAGAGGAAACATCTGCAATTGCTGGGGCGGGGGGGGGGGAAAGTAAAAGCCTCCTGGAATCTTCAAAAGGGCTCAGGACAATGATTTTGAAACGGTCCGAAAGGTGGTCTTCACAAAAGCCAAATTTGGGGGCTGAAGTTGAGTTGATGTTGAGGGTTATTTGGCGGCTGAGCCTCGGACACATTTAGAGAACAGATGATCAAATTACACAGTTCTAAGTGTCGGTCTGCATTCTCATTCTGAGTGGAAACGTTCTTTGTTTTGCCTGCTTCACGACTTCGAGGTTCTCTTTCTGCTAGCAAGAGAGGTGCTTAATTTAGATCGAAAATGTGAATCGGCATAGTGAAGCTCCACCACTCGAAGCGTTCAGTACCATCTCACTCCTGAAATTACTGTTGAAATCGCTGCCTGCCTACAACCGTTTTTCAAGTTTTTAGAAAAAAAAACCCCGATCACTGTTTTTATGAAGCCTTTCTCAGCCTACAGCTCGGGGCACGAGAAACGAGAGCAAAGCTTACAGCCAGGCAGCAGCCTGGAGCTGGAACACCCACGCCGGAGTGACTTCAGGCAGCCCCTCCGCTCCAGTTTTATTAATACTTAAAAGTAGCAGGAGTTTTGTCCCTTTTCCTTTTGCACATGCTCCCTAAGCTCAGCTCCAGGCACAGCTGCACTGTTCTTGCTTTGTCAGGAACCTCTTGTCTGTGTGTCTGCAGTGACAGGACAAGGGGTAACGGGTTTAAATTGAAAGTGGGGAGGTTTAGATTGGACATCAGGAAGAAGTTCTTCATGGTGAGGCACTGGAACAGGTTGCCCAGAGAAGCTGTGGATGCCCCATCCCCGCGATTGTTCAAGGCCGGGCTGGATGAGGCTTTGAGCAACCTGGTCTAGTGGAAGGTGTCCCTGCCCATGGCAGGGGGTTGAAACTGGATGGTCTTTAAGGTCCCTTCCAACCTGAACCGTTCTGTGATGATTCTATGATTCTATGTCTCCCAGACCACAGGAACTATCGTATGCCTGTATTTAGTGCATGTGTGTGCGTGTATGTGGGATGGGAGGGAGAAATGCGTCTCAAGAGCGAGACATTGTGATGGGTAAGAACTTAAATCTAAAATCACAAGTTAAAAAAAAAATTCCATTTATAAGAAGTCTCTAACTTTGAAGTGCAGCTCCTCCAAGAAGAAAGGTTGTAAACCTCTCCATCAGTTTCAGCCCTGGCTGAAATCCACATTCAGTATAAAACCTAAGAACCCCCTCTTGGCCCCCCGAGATTACCTTCTCTTGTTCTACACGGTGCTGGCACGCTTGTTTACATTTTGATCTCTCTGGTGTTCCCAAGCATCCCTTGTGCTCAGCTAGTAGCGGAAAAAGCCGAGAGGGGATTTATGGACCAAGGACAGCTTGCCAACTAAACAGAGCCATCACCGTTACACTTGGAAAATCACCTTTAGATACGGCGACCTCTTTCTGCGCATAGGAGTTAGTGGGAGCGGAGGCTTCACCGGGAACTCCGAAGGGAAGAACGGTTATCTTTAGTCTGCCGAGTGGGGACGTGGGCTGGTGGCATGAAGAAAGTTGCGTTCTCTTCGCGAGCTTCCTTTCTGTCACTCGCGGGCTTGCTCCGGCGCGTGCTGCACGTCGGTCCCGCCCGGACCTGTAACCTGGTGACAGCAGGAGCCGCTCCTCCTGCCCAAGCGGCCCCGCACTCTCTATCACTTTTCCAGCAGCGCCAGCCCTTCTCCTTCCTCCTCCCCTCCCCCCTGGGTTGTTCTTTCTTTAAAAGAGAAAAGTGTCAATTTGAACTTCCTGCTCGACAGACCCCACTGAGGAACCGATAGGGGCCTGATAAGGTGGTATTTATTTATTCTTCCTGCTGCCAGGCTTCACAAGTCCTGCTTCTCTCCCCCCTCCTGCCCAGCTTTCAGTACTTCCCAGTCTCGATACTTCCCGCTGCTGACAGCGTCACCGGGAATGTTTGCTCTGAGACGCTGGCGTGGTGACAGGCGGCTGATAAGAAGAGGTAGATAATATCACCCGTGGTGCCGTTGTGGAGCTTCATGAGCCTCGTAGGACCTCTGTGTTAGACGAAAAAACCTACGTGGACGGTTTAGGAAGTGAGTTAGTTACCAGCCGACGAGTACGGTGAAAGCGACAAGAGGAAGTCAATGATTTGTAATGCCAGACAACGTGACATGCTTCCTAATTTATTTTTGAAGCAGCTCTGCATTTAACTTGGACGTCAAGAGGTGTACTGGGGAAGCTCCCTGCACACCCGCTGTACAGCACGCCCTCTGGTTGATCATAGATGTTTTAACTGAACGTAGCCGCCTTCGGTTGCGCTTCGTGGCACCTTGAAAACTCACACGCTGCCCACAGGAACTGCGTTTCCTTGCTGCTGGTCCGATGCCATTCGAAGAGGGATGCTGCCGTAGAAGTGGGCTGCTCTGAGTAGGAGCCTTGCTTTGAAAACAGCTGCTTTCTTGGATACCTTTAGTAAGTGGCTCTTTCCTGGCCTTACAGGGTCATGTTGCCAAGTGATAGATCCTGTCAGGGTAGCAAATCGCTGTTCAGAGCAAAGAATCCGGGTTGAAAGCCGCGTGGTCACTGCCTGTTCCCGTCTTCCTCGCTGGGTTCAGCTGGGCCTCCAGATGTGCCAAGTAACTGTTCTCTCACCCCAGTCGGTGAAGCAAGAACAGTCAGCGGCAGCAGTCGGGGTTTGGCTAAAGGGCTGCCATACTTTTGAGTCACGCACCCGTTGGCCTTGACTCCTACGTCCTGATGGAAAACCTTGCGCATCACTAACCACGAGTACGAAAACTTCTCGTAGGTTTTCCCCTGTAAGAAAACATCTTACAAGTCATCATTTCAAGATTATATAACTATTAACTTTGGGAGATTAGGTCACAGCAGACTGCTTTTTCTCCTGAAGACGTCTTCCAGTGTGCTGCTTAGGTTCTGTTCTGGCCAGAGAACAAGGTGGAGTGTTTCGAACTGAGCCGAAGGGGTGCCAGCTTCTGTTGCCTTCTGAATGCATATTTCTTTTGCCTTCTTCTTTTTTTTTTTTTCCAAAGTACATTTCGACTTCAGCTGGAGCCAACCAGTCTTGCTTTCTTTTGCTTTGCTTCAGCATTTTTTTTTATAAAGCACAGCTGTAAGCAGAGGAGTTTTGCATAGACTGCATGCCACAGAAATCTGCAGTACATAGTCTGCTTTGTTGTAGATGTTCCTAAGCAATGTATTTAATGAGTAACGATCTGTTTACTGATGGAGAGTACCTTCTCTTTGAAGAAGGCTTTCATCCTAGCCAGCCGTGGGGTTTTGGGTACTGTAAGTAATTGAACTGGCTGGTGAAGTGACTGCTGCGGTTTGGCAAAAGCCGGTTTGTCGTGAGGGAACGTTTCTGGGAGCTCGCGTTCTGCAGAGTCCTTCTGCTAAACCTGTGTCGTGAACACATGCTCGTTACCGCGCTTACCAGAAGTACTGCTTGAGTAGGCGCTCAACAGCGGGTCGCATTCAGGGGGGAGGAAAGATGCAGTCGGTTTGCAAAGTGGGGAGACCAGCGCTCCGCAAGTGAACCATCGTCCGGATCCGTGTGTACCGGCTGGTGTCCCTTCAGTGAACGCTGCTTTTTATTAACACTTAAAACCCGCAGGCATTTCTTCACACAGAAAGCAGGTTTTCGGTGAGTTGAGCGGTTGCTCATCTCCGAGAGCGGCCCTTCCTTCCCACTGAACTTGTAGGAGTTAGACAGTGTTTTGAAAAGAGGTGGTGACAGCGGCATATCTGAATAATCGTTACCTTGTCTTTGTATTTCAGCGCCAGCCCATGTTAACCCAAAGCAGCACAGTGCCGACAAAGATGAGCTCTGTCCAAAAAGCATCCCAAAGAAGGAGCACAGTGTGAAAGAAATCCTGAAAATGGAATCCAGTCCTCCAAAAGGAAAAGACTTCTTCCAGACCAACATTTCACCAGTTACTCCAGAAAAAGACTTGGATGATTTGCGTAAGAACTATAGCCCGGAGAGGTGTTTCTTCCCTCGAGTTGTCTACCCGATCCGACCTCACATTCCCGAAGACTATCTGAAAGCTTCCTTAGCATATGGGATGGACAGACCCAGCTACATGACTCACTCGCCCATCCAGACGTCTACTACGCCGAGTCCTTCCGGGAGGAGCAGCCCAGACCAAAGTTTAAAAAGCTCAAGCCCTCACAGCAGTCCAGGGGTCACGGTTTCACCCCTGGCACCTGCTTCCCAAGAGCACAGAGAGCCCTACTCTTACTTGAACGGATCCTATGGCTCGGAAGGATTGGGGTCTTATCCTGGATACGCCCCCCCTGGCCACCTCCCACCTGCCTTCCTACCATCCTATAACCCCCATTTTGCTGCCGCCGTTCAACGTGAGCTGCAGTAACCTGAGCGCTTTGAATAATATCAACGGCATCAACAATTTCAACCTCTTCCCAAGGATGTACCCCCTTTACGGCAACCTGCTCGGCGGCGGTAGCCTTTCCCACCACGTCCTGAACCCCACCACGCTCCCCAGCTCGTTGCCCAGTGAAGGAGGCCGTCGATTGCTGCAGCCCGATCATCCGAGAGACTTCCTCATTCCAGCACCTAACAGTGCCTTCTCCATCACGGGCGCTGCTGCCAGCATGAAGGACAAGCCGTGCAGCCCCACCAGCGGGTCACCCACGGCGGGCACAGCAGCCAGCTCCGAACACATAATGCAACCTAAACCTACCTCAGTGGTGCTGACTGCCACCGGCGGCGAAGAAGCCATGAATCTCATCAAAAGCAAGAGGAATGTGACCGGGTACAAAACCCTCCCTTACCCGCTGAAGAAGCAGAACGGGAAGATCAAGTACGAATGCAACGTTTGCTCCAAGACCTTCGGCCAGCTCTCCAACCTGAAGGTAGGCGGCGGAGGGGAGGACCCGAGCCTTCCTGGAAGGCTCTGCTTTCTCCCTAGAGCTTGCCTAGGAAAAGTAGGGACAGGCTTCCCTTGCCTGTTGGGCTGTTTATCAGTCTCGGCTTCGTCGGGCACCCCCCTCCCCCAGCAAGAAAGAGTTTGCATACTGACGCCACCTAATTAAGGAGATAAGAGGGTATTTGGGGAACGGGAGTCCCGCGCTAACTTTAGGAAGCATCTGAAAGCGCTTTTGTCGCAGCCCTGGGAACTGCAAACCGTTAATGGCTTTGTTTCTCCCCAGGTGCACCTCCGGGTACACAGTGGGGAGAGACCCTTCAAGTGCCAGACGTGCAATAAAGGCTTCACGCAGCTGGCTCACCTCCAGAAGCACTACCTGGTCCACACGGGAGAAAAGCCCCACGAGTGTCAGGTACGCAGAGCGCCGGGGGCGGCTTCCCGCGGAGTCCAAAGGGAGGGCAGGGCAGGGGGGAGGGCGGCGCCACC